AAAAGCGAAGCACTCGACCTTGAAGGGCTTGCTGATTAGTTACAAATAGGACATAAGTTTTATGTGATTGGAGTCTCAATGGGATCATACACCATCTGGAGTTGCCTCAAATATATACCGGAAAGGCAAACTACTTAAAAACTTTCTTATGCAAACTAAGGTTTTTGTTACTTCACTTGTGCCATAAGCAATCTACTTGCCAATTGATTGTCCCTGCAGGCTAGCAGGTGTGGCGATGGTGGTTCCGGTCATCAATTATCGATGGCCCTCATTTCCCAAGAGCCTGACCAGAGAAGATTAAGAACAGTTGTGAAGTTATTGTATTGGATAGCAAAATATACCCCTGGCCTTCTACACTGGTCGGTTACTCGAAAATGATTCCCTTCATCATCGTTCGTGGAAGAAAAGCCGGTGTTCTTCCATAAAAGAGATATGGAAGCCCTCAAGAAAACAGAAGGGTTCCCCATGCTTACCAAGGTAAGGATTAAACATTCTACATCAGCCTATTTGTATTCATTATGTTGACGATTTATGTTTGTGCACGCGAACAGGAAAGATTACGAGAACAATCTGTTTTCGATAAACTGTGCAGTGACTTTCTGGTCTGTTACGGTGATTGGGACTTCGATCCAATGGAACTGACTAACCCATTCCCCGAGAAACAGAACGGTGTTCATATCTGGCAGGGTCACGAAGACAAGATCGTCCCGTTCGAACTTCAACGATGCATTTCGAGAAAGCTACCGTGGATCCAATACCATGAAGTTCCCGATGGTGGACACTTACTCGTGCATTACAACGGGTTACGCGAGGCCATATTGCGTGCGTTACTGCTAGGAGAAGAACATCACCTGTATGGACCAAGTGCAGATCAAGTTGTCGCCTAAATATTATCCATAGTTTCTTTCATTCTTTCAATGTTGATTGTGAGTGGGTAAATATGTGGTGTTAGATTGATAAACATGAAAAGATTTCACAGTTTGCACATGCATATTCAATATCTAAGTACACTCGTACAGATACAATTAACATGAAATAATTCGAACTCAAACATGAGATATAACCGTAAGGTCTGTGCAATTTTGATGATTATAAGATAGTATTTATTCGAACATGACTCTAATGGGATTGAAGTTATTAAGTGAAAAGATCTTCTTTTCTTTTTTTAAATATTTTTTATTTAAGGAGAATGAAGAAACTTAAATATTTATTGCTTTCTTTTAAAAAGTGATCTAATATGGACAAAAATTAATAGCCTAATTATTTGTAAAATTAATCTAATTATAAATGTGATTAGTAAATGATATAAAATAACATTAAATTTATAAAGTCTTAATTAAACTTAATTAAATGAATTATACAATCGTTAATTAAATTGATTCAATATAAGTATAGAAATAATGACATTCAATTTATTAATCTCAAATTTATGATTATTATTTTATAATTAATTATTTTTATATTTCCATAAAATATTTTGATTTGTATTATTATATTGTGCAATACCTCATATATTATATATTATAATATAAGATGTAAGCAATTATACTACACCATCACGAATCTCACAATATGATAATAATATATGAGTAATAAAAATCATATTATATATTATTTATTTAAAATGATTTATATAGTTTATATTACATAATATAATTTTATTTATAGCTTATATACAATATTGAAAATAGTTTTATATAATGTTATTATATAAAACTTTATTATATAATAATCAAATATTTTTTATAATTTTATAATTTATTATTTGATACATTGTTCTTAAAAATAATTCTACAAATTACGCTTTTATTTATATAAAAGTATAATAGGAAAACTATATATTAAAGTCCTTCAATTTCTTCTTCATCATCCAAAGGAGATAGGTTAAAATTTATAGAGTTTGATGAAAGTGTTGACGAGGAGAGAGGGAGAAGGATCCATTGGGAGGGAAATTTGGCATAAGCAAAGAGGCACGTGGCACCAACGTGTTAACAACTGTGTCCAGTAGTGGGGCCCACACCTACCATCCATTGCATGTATTAAGGTGACCATTGAAGCAGTTACAGTACTCACCACTTCTTCTTCTTCAGCAGATTCCCTACTTTTGGTTCTTCTCAACACTAAAAAAGTACCCCCAAAATAAAAAAGATTGAATTTTCCCCAGCGTCTCCCATGCCTGCAGGTCACATTCTGGTATAATTTCTTTACATTTCCTTCTAATTTCTACATGCATTATTACTTCCTTTATTTCTCATATATCTGATTTATGATTTTCTTGTTGGATTCCCATTTTCTTTTTTCTTTCTCCTTGGATGGTCGATATAAGCAATTGCATGTCGATGTTTGGTTTTCTCAACGCCACAAAACCTTAATCTCATACTGCCATTCTCTTCATTTTACATATCCAAATGCATGCATGATGTAATTATCTTTAGAATTTTGAAATGCTCTTAGTTCTTAATTAACCCAGAGCTTTTCAATTTATATATATAAATAATTTTAAATTCTGCTTTTTTCTATCTACAAATTTCGACCTCCTTTCTCATAAAAAAACGGGCATGCTTGTCTTGATGCAGTTCTTCCTTCTTTGTAAGAGTTCTTAGATATATGTATATATATAGTGTTGTTTTCCCCCACACAAGTTTTATGAACAATTTCTTTTGCTGTAATTGTTCTAGCTTGAATATAATTATTTTGGGAATTATATTTATATTTTCAGTTTTACTCAAGCACATGCAAAATAAAATAGATTAGAAAAAGTTTTAGTGACTAAGCTACTGCTGAGAATAAGATAGTTACCGGAATTATAAATTTCTGGTCCCTTGACCTCTTATTGTTACTAATCTGCATTTTTTATTTTAAGTGCTGCTATGAACCATGTATAATATCTGTTTGTTTTTCTTTTTGCAGGAACTTGTCTGAGGTTTTCCTTTCTTTTTTGTTTTAGTTTGATCATAAAGGTAGTGCCTGTACCATCTTATTGGAAACGAGAGACGGTGTTTATGGTCAAATAATGGCACTTTTTGAATCAGAAAGTGTTGCCTATGGTGGCATCAAGTCAGCATTGCCAGCACAAGCACCACAATCGCCGCAGCAGCAGCGCGACGAGTTAACACAGGATCGATCCGTTTCTTCCTTGAACAACAGGGTTCCATTTTCTCGCTTACGCTCGACGAGATCCAACTAAAGAGTGGGAAAGCTTTCGGGTCCATGAACATGGATGAATTCCTTGCCAACTTGTGGAATGTGGAGGAAAACCAAGAACCACCACAAATCGACCAAAACGAGCCTTGCAATGACAAAGGCAACATTGGCAGCGGAGGCCAACCAACATTAGCACGACAAGGGTCTTTTTCGATCCCTACCCCACTTTGTAAGAAAACAGTGGATGAGGTTTGGTTGGAGATTCAGAAAGACCTACCGCCGCAGCGGAAAGCTAACATCCCCGATCACGAACCTCCACAGCGCCAACAAACATTCGGAGAGATGACTTTGGAGGATTTTCTAGTCAAAGCCGGAGTTGTTCGAGAATCATCATCGGCTTCTTCCCAACAAAAGAAGGTGACACCTATAGGTCCTATACAGACCAATGGAACAGGTTTAGATGCAAACTACGGACTGGGGCACGGGATCGGATCTTCTCAACCAAAAATGCTTACATCTATTCAGAATAACAATGGAAACATAGATAAAAACTTTGGAATGGGACATGTGATGGGGCTAGGATTCCCAGGCCACCAAATTGTTGCCAGCAACATGGCAGCACCAGGCCATGGTTATGCGACCACATACCCGATTTTCACGCAGAGTAAAACCGTTATGGGTGAATCTTCTAATGTAGCTGAAAAAAATGAGAACGGTACCTACCGTATGTTAGAGCCTGTCACGATACAGAACAAGAAGAGGATCATAGACGGTCCACCAGAGGTGGTAGTGGAAAGGAGACAACGCCGCATGATTAAGAATCGAGAATCCGCAGCAAGATCTCGAGCAAGGAAACAGGTGCATACTTGCTTCTCATAAGTATATCCGGTTCACTATCCATTAAATCTGGACTCTACTTTCTTGAATTGCAGGCGTATACAGTGGAGCTGGAGTTAGAGTTGAATCAACTCAAACAGGAGAACGCAAAGCTTAAGCAGCTTGTGGTAAAACAATCCTTTCTTCTAAAAAACTTGAAATTACTCCTTTTTCATTAAAAAAAAGAGAGGCTAAACTGTTTCTGGGTTTTTAATTTTGAGCAGGAGGAAAACGAGCAAAGGCGAAAGCAAGAGGTGAGTTGTTTCTGCCATGCATTTGGCATACTTATGTTCTAAGAAAATTATCATAAATTCAGTGCCATTCTTGTTTTATAAATGATGAACGCATGAACAGGTTCTGAAAAGAAAGCAGACAAAATTACCAGCACAAAGGAAGGTTGCTGATAAGATGAAGACATTAAGGAGGGCAGTGAGCTTGGGATGGTGAAAATGATGAGAAAATAGAGAAATAAAGAATTACAGTATGCTTCGCTTAATCAGACAGTTTACTTTAGCTTACCAATGTAATGTATATCTAAATAATTAGGAATATCTCCAAATTAAAACCCATATATTAGTTTTTTTTCCTTTGAAGGGATCATGTGAGTATATATATATACGATTGTGTGTAATAGTAAGTACTTAAATTAATCATGGTAAAAGAATAATAAGTAGCAATATTCTATGTTTATTTAAAATTGTGTATGCAAAAATTAACAGGAAAATCAAATAATTGAAATTTATTTAAAATGTGATCTCAATTCAATAAGGTTCCAATTTTAAATTTTATAAACTTTGAAAGGTGTAAGTGTAATTTTTTCAATTATTTGCATGTGCTTGACGCTTGTGTAAAAATAAAAGGAAACTATAAAAATACACAGTAAAGTAAAAAGCCGCGACGACGTATTGAACTGTTTAGTATACGCCTAAAAGAAATTTTATGTTTTTATATACACGTTATTATTACATATCAATCATTCCCGCTTTTCTTTTTTCCGGTTCGCCCTAATTTTTCCTTATTTTGATCTTCGATTGACTGTGTTGATTCTCAGGTAATTGGATCTTTAAACGCTCTAATTTCTTTTTCTTTTTCCTTAATTTCACTTCAATTTCGGTAGTTCTTTCTTCCAGTTCCTCTCTCTCATGTTAGGGTTGTCATTTTAGTTTCTAAAATTTTCTCTCTTTTTTTCATTTTATTTGTTGAATCTCTCTTTCCCTAGTTGGAAGTTGGAGAATGTGAAGGAAGAGAAGTCAATTTTCTTCCGGTTGGATTTTCTCTTTTTTATTTGTAATTTTGGTTCAATTGTAATTGTAATTTGGATTGTCATTGTTGTTCCTTTAACTAAAAATAAATTTATAATTGAATTAAGAATGATCGAAGAAGTAAAGTGCGACACTACGTTTAATTTAGTTGTTCTGTATTAAAGTAATCCTAACTTTTAATTTGGAAGAAGTAATCCTTCAAATTCAAAAGCAAAACTCAGGAGATTGAGTTACTTGGATTTTGTGGGTAAGAGTCTTGGCTTCACGTGTGCAGATTTGGAAGTTCAAAGTCAGCAGATTGTCATAGAGGAAGAAATGTTAGGTTCTGGAAATAATTTAAGCCGAGGGAATGCAGGATTGCCCTCAGATATGCCACCATTGCCTCAGTATTTGCCTCTGGAGCCGATTACATTGGGGAGTCATAAATATACACGGTCTGGAGAGCTAAGCCGGGTTCTGGGTGTTCCACTTCGAAGTAGTACATCAGAGGATCACACTTTTGGAGTTTCACACTCCAAACTTTCCCCTCCTGTGGCAACAGAGGAACTTAAGAACTTTAAGGAAAGTGTTCAAGATGCCAAAAGAAAGGCCAGGTATAGTCCCTTTTTCTGTTAGTACGACCATCCAGCTATTTTTTTGAATAAGTTTATGTTCTATGGAGGATGGTTTTCTTCACGAGTTAGTGTAGTAACTTCTTATTGTAATTGTAGTGACAAGGGAACCTTTAAAGGTAGGTACTTTCAATGGAAACAGAATGGCCAAATAACAACATGGTACATAATTGTTATGATACATGCAATGCTCATATAAAATGGTGCAATGTAGATATCCCATCTTCAAACGTCCTTTTTGCTTGAGTATTTGTCTCTGGTGGACGATATGAACTTGCCATTTAATTCTAGTGCTTCTTCTTGCGGTTCATCTTTCTTAGCTAGTACTTGTGCATATTTCATCATTGTTATGATTCCTGATACTCCTAGGTTGTGCTGACACTTGATAGTGTTAGGTTATTGAATATACATTATCTTTATGTCAGTGTTAGGGTGAAAAAGTTACGCGAGTCAATTTCTAAATTGGAGAGGTATAGAGAAGCCTTAGACACAAAGAAGCAGCAACGAAGTGATATTTCAAGTGAGAGAACTAGTGGATTAAGCAATGCAAAGATGGGAAGCCAGATTCATAGGAACACTCATGAAATAGTGAACCAAAGATCAGAGGATAGGCCAAAGGGTGTGGGGCTCAACAAGCGTGTACGCACATTATTTTCCGATTTACGGGTATTTCTCTATGATTGCTTGAATATAATTATGGTTCAACCTATTTAGTCTTGTCATACATTCTTGAACAAGGAAAACTCAGTTGATCTTTCTTCAGCACTGAATAAATTTTCCTGTTGTCTTTCATTTTATATTGGTTGTAACCATAATTGAATGTGCTATTTAATTTTTAAATGAGAGGAAAATAGGCCAGAAACATAACACGTAGTTTGACTAGATCCTTTTTTTTTTCTCTTAATTTTTAGCTTATGCTTCATTAATTTTATATCCCTTGTTTTCTCTTCCTTTATTTTTTTTCGTGAGACCAGGCTGATAACAGGACTACTGTGAATCCAAGGCAGCAAGGGGTAGTAGAAAAGGATAGTGATGTACTTTCAGCTGTTAATGGGGGTTCTGCTCGAATTGAAGAAAAGATCCGCAGATTGCCAGGTGAAGGATGGGAGACAAAGATGAAAAGGAAACGGTCTGTTGCAGCTGTAGGAAATAGAGTTGCCTATGCTGGTCGAGATATAAAACAATCTATGCAACCAAAGCTGAGTTCTGAATCAAAGTTACAGTTATGTGATACACTGGGTTTCAGGTGATTGTATAGGATCTTTCTTACTTCCTAGTTGCTGATTTAATTGTGGTGCTGTGGATACATCGCTGACGAGAGTAAACTGGGTTTTGTGACCATCTCTGGATGTGCTTTAATTGTTATTAATGAAACTGGCAGTGTTATAAACTTATAGTAATCGTCGGAGAAACATTCTGTTTTACTATTTAATGCTTGTAGATTTTATGGTTGCAGTCATTATTCATAACATGTGGAACTTTGTGAATTTTGTTTTGTATATGCAAGAATTATGGAGGTTTTTAGATAAAATTGCTATAGTGTGTAGCATTGTGATAGTCAATCATGAAATTTTATGCTTAAGAACTCGTATTATATTTTGGATTGACAGATCTCCATGCTCACTTGTTTTTTTGGGTTGTCTATCATAATTAACTTTGGTGTTTCTATTCTATCTGCTTTTAGTTCTAATATAGAATATATGATCGTGACTGCTTGTTTGCTGGCATGTCATTTTTAAATGCTTGATATGGCATTAATGAAAATGAAGACATTTCTTGTTTCTGGAAATGATTATCAAATTTCGACTTTATGTTTATAAGATACAATTTACGCTGATTCTAGAATTTTTCAGCCATTTTCAAATATGTTATGTACGATTCTTAAAACTGCTCTTGTCCATTGTTTTATGTGCGCAGAACGAAATCTTCCCCTGGAGTTGGTGGAATTAATAGGTCACACGGTTCATTTGAAGCTGCTGGTTCGGAGGCAAATAGAGTAGTCAGGAATGAATTGGAGAGTACATCTATTCTACGGGATCGTGCGGCTATGTTGGAGCAGAGGGCTGTAGTAAAAACAAATAATAAGTACGTCTCTTTACCTTTTTAGTTCTAGCAATCTGTGTGTGGGCAGGAACCTCGCATAATTGATGTACATCAAAATTTGCACTTAGTTTCTGCCATGTAGGACTTTCTTTTAATGTTTTCTTCTCGTTTATTATTGATATTTTTTATGGAACTGTTTGTCAGGGCAAGTCATCAGGAGGACAATCAAGCAAGTGGCTCGAGTACAATTCTAAAAGGGAAGGTTTCAAGGGCACCAAGAACTGGCTCCATCATGGTGTTAGACTCATCTTCTAAAGTTCACCTCTCATCAGGAGCTTTGCAGGGTTCGGATCAGCCAAATCAAAATAAGATCCAAGCTTTAGGTATCGTGAACAATAAAAAATGTCCAATGTCTACAGGCTCATCATCACATGCTATATCCCAGTGGGGTGGTCAGAGACCACATAAAATCTCACGAACAAGGAGAGCAAATTTAGTGTCCCCTGTGGCTAATGCTGAAGCTCAGGTTTCATCTCAAGGCTTTGCAATACCTAATTTTGGTGCTAGGGTATCTATTGGAACTGGTGGATCGCTTCTTGGCAGCAGTGTAGATAATGTTTCTCCAAATATTAAGCAGGAACTTGAGAATGTCTCTTCTCCATTTGGGTTATCTGAGAGTGAAGAATCTGGGGCTGGAGATAACAAATCAAAAGAGAAAGGAATTGATACTTATGAGGTTACTCTTCCTGATTCCCAGAAAGCTGGGACTTTCTTACTGCCCACAAGGAAGAAAAAAAATACTAATGAAATTGGAGATGGAGTCCGAAGGCAAGGAAGGAATGGTAGCAGTACTCCACCCTTGACAAAACCATGTGTACATCCTATAAGGGAAAAATCGGACAATCTTACCACAATGAAGCTAATTCAAAGTCCAAGATCTGCTTCTGATAAAAATAGAAGGTTCTTATCCGGTTCTTAATATTATGTTGTTCATTTGTCTTGTGGAATCTGATGAATGAATCATGAATTCTTTGTTCAGTAAAACAGGTTGCCCACCTTCCAAAAAGCTGAAAGATCGCAAGGCCTCAACTCGTGTTGGGTCGATGCTGAATAATGTTTCTTCAGATTTCACAGGTATTTGACTGCTTATTAGGTCGATGATACTTAGCTGCATATTTGTCAAAAATAGAAGAGTATTGAGTCTGTTGCAGCAGTATGATTGCTCTGTGATGGTATATCTAAACCTCAATTTTGCATGGTTGTTACTAATCTTAAAGCTGTGCTTCAATGATGACTATGATACCTCATCTCTGCTACCTGACATTACCATTTTGATGAATATTTTGCTCTTAGTTTTACCTTGTGTGTTTAGCTATCAACGAGTTACCTGCGTGTTCTTGCATGGATTTAATATTTCTTTTTGTGGAGATGTTTTGTTGTTTATTTTTCAAATTTTGGAAGCAATTGTACTACGGCACTTAGCTGCATGCATATGTATCTGCATCTTCTGTGAACTGCCAAACTTGCTGAAATGTTTTTGAAAATCTATGAAACTTCCTGGTATGTACATTTGATGATGGTGTATTTGGGATGCCATTTGCAGGTGAATCCGATGATGATGATCGTGATGAACTACTTGAAGCTGCCACTTTGGCTCGGAATGCTAGCGGTATGCATCTTTTCCTATGATTCCCCCCCCTCAAAAAAAATAATAATAATAAAAAAAATCAAATGCCTTATGTGCACTGAGCTTTTATAAGGGCATATATTTCTTGTTTCTGTAGGTCTTGCTTGTTCTGGTCCTTTCTGGAAGAAGATGGGATCTATTTTTAATTCAGTGAGCTCAGAGGACACATCTTACCTCAGGCAACAGGTACTATACGGCCAAACATATTTATGATTCATTGGTACTTTGGTGTTAGTTCATCACACTTCACAGTTTCCTAAACGCTATTTTGATGTTGCATCAGCTAAGTTTGGCAGAAGAACTAGACGAGAGTTTGTGTCAAATTTTTGGAAATGGATTTAATGTTCAGGTAAATTTCCATCATCTTATTTCTCATTCCCTAAATTTAGATCTATTTAATCAGCTATAAATACGAGCATGTTAATCTTAAGAGATCTAAGAAGAGAGGATAGGATAACTGGAAATTAAGTCAAACTTTGTTGGCAGATGTTGATATGAACTCCTTCCATTCCTCAGGGTGTTGCAGTGCAGAAAGATGCGCATGATTCTGTTGAAGTGGCCAAAACTAATGCTTCAAGTGAAAGATTTGATATAAAGAAGTTTGACAAGGTTACTCCTTTTTATCAAAGAGTTCTTTCTGCTTTGGTCGAAGAAGATGAAAATGAAGAAATTTATCACCGCAATGAAGCGAAGAACATGTCCCTTCACTATGCAAGCGACGATTCCCATTGTAGTTCATGCAACCTGATGGATGTTGAATTTAGAGATAGAGACAGAATAGAAACTGAAGTTGAGTCATACACAGATTTTCAGTGTCAGAAAAACTCTCTGTTAGACAGGATGTCTGGTGATGTGAGTGTTGCGTCAAACACATTTAGGAACGGCAGCATGTCTAATTCATTACATAGCAGTGAACGGTGGTTGGGAGATGATGATTTATCACATATGGATTCAGGTCCCGTGAGTGAAATATGTTCAACTGACCTGGGTCAGGTCCAACAGAAGGAAATGAATGTTTCTGAGGGTTCTGTTGACTGTCAATATCAGTTGAGGTGTATGGAGGACAAGCTTTTGCTGGAGTTGAATAGTATTGGTATTTATCTCGAGTCCTTGGTGAGTTTTTCTGTCATGCTAAGATTGATTGATTAATTTAAATTTCCTTCTTTCAGTTCCAAGAATACACCCAAGCCCCCCGTATGTTGGATGTCAAATACTTTTTGCTGCTACCTTATATAAGCACTACTGTTTTTTTTTCTTTTGCCTTTTTGCAGCCTGATTTGGCGGAGGGGGACGCGATAAATCAAAATGTTGTTGAACTTAATGAATGTCTCTATCAACAGGTTGATGTTCACAACTGTTACATGTTTTCACAAATGTCCCCAATTTGAATTATTTAAGCATATTTGAAATTAGCCTGGTGCTATTTACTTCCCAAATCTATTTCTTCATGCGCTAAAATGAAAAGATCTTAAATAACATATTAAATTTTTTATTTAGCTGACTTTTGTTTTTACATTGATTTTTGTTGCATATTTGAACACTTTTTTTTTATTGATTCTTAGATCCAGAAGAAGAAGAAAAAGTTGGGGAAGATTGATAAAGCTGTTGAGAATGGGAGAGATGTAGAGAGAAGGTGAGATAAACAGCTGATCTTGTTATTGATAACCTAATGAATTGTGCTCAACTAGAGTAATGTGGTTTGCTTTGCAGGGACATTGAGCATGTTGCAATGGACCAATTAGTCGAGATGGCTTACAGAAGACGTTTGGTACTTCTCAATCCATTGTGCACTTTTTTCTAAATTATTATCTTGGAACTTCTGAGGCTTAGTTCTTTACCATTTATCCTTTCCTTTTTTATCTAAATTTCTATGATAATTAAAGGTGTGAGAGTCATCGCATGCAAGAATTGTCGACAAGTTGATAACATTTCGGCCATTTTTTTAACAAGTATCTAGGAAACTAGTATTTTATATGGTCAGCTAACTATCAAAACATTTTTTGGTTGCTATCTATTTAGGTTGATAATCTAGCTTTATAGTGACAATGCCTCAGTAAAATTTTGTAATGTCAGACACAGTACATAAATAATGTGAAGAGTCTAAATATTTGACAATTATAATGCCAGTGTTCTAGAGACAAGTCAGACTGGCTAAATTGAACTAGGAAGTAGGACCTATCTGGCTGGTTGCTTCATAATCCCAAGTGGTTAAAAACAAGAAAACCCGGAAGAAATGGTTTACCTGGTTTTTATTTATTGTTTATGATATTCTTAGTCCTTTAAATATTTAATACAATTACAATGATAACAGGTGTTGATGTTGATATTTAGAAAATCAAGCGAACTTAAATTAGCTGAACTGTTTGACCCTTGACCCACTCTTGTAGGCCAGTTCCATTTTTATTTAGATTTTCTACTGTCTTCATGATAATGGAAAATATTATGACTCTAGACTGTAAAAATCTAAGGCACTTCGTCCAGTGCATTATCTACTTAGCATGTCTTTGTAAAACCACATGGCATGGAACTTTTTCTTGCTATGTAGTCAATGCAGTATTAGTCTGGTATTGGCAATTTATTGGTGCCAGGCCTTTTGACATGCTTTATTGTTGATTTAGGCGAGGATTGGGTGTAACATGTCGTATAATGTTGTTGAATGGTTCATTTTTTTTATATCTGAAGTGATTTGGAGCAAGGTGTTTTTATAGTTGATATTTTTTTTTTTTTTTGCAAACAATTTATGCAGGCGTGTCGTAGGAATAATTCGTCCAAAAGTGCAGTTCGTAAGGTTTCAAAACAAGTTGCATTGGCTTTTGTCAAGCGAACTGTTGATAGATGTCAAAAATTTGAGCAGACGGGCACTAGTTGCTTTAGCGAACCTGCTTTGCAAGATATCATGTTTTCTGTACCTCCATGCAGCAATACAGCGAAGTCTGTTGATTGTATTGGCTCCGGAACTGCTAGTAACATTTGTAATGAAACTTCCAACGGTCAAGGAGAAGCCAGGGGCTCAGGTATTGAAAATTATACCTTCATTTTGATGGCATTATATGCCATTTAGTATACTATACGAGGTTATGCATTTTGGTTTTAATTAGGATTCGAGACCATTTTTTTCTCAATGATGTAAGAAAAAAAACTAGTTATCTCGGGTACATGCCTCCTTTCAAGCAGCTTTATTCATGTTCATTTCACTTCTGCTACAGGTGCTGTTTCGAGTACTTACGAGAGGAATGATTCATCGGAAACCAAGTATGGATCTATGTTGAACAAAGGGGGGAAGAGGGAAGTACTTATTGATGATGTTGTTGGTAGTGCTTCGTCTAGGGTAACATCCACTCTTGATGGCAGTGTTGGAGGATTAAACGGAAGGGAGCAAAGCAGAGAGAATCTGAGAAATACTAGTTCGAAGGACGAGCGGAAAACAAAAGCAAAAGCCAAGCAAAAGCATAGTCATTTATCAATCTCTGGAAACGGATTCAACGGAAGGCTTACAGGACCTTTGAAACCTACAGATAAGATTCATCAGAATTCAACCAAAGAAACAGACGATCCCATGGATTTTGCGAACTTGCAACTAAACGAGCTGGATACAATGGAGGAATTGGTTGTTCCAAACGAGATTGGTGGTCCGCAAGATCTGAGTTCGTGGTTAAACTTTGATGAAGATGGCTTGCAAGACCATGATTCAATAGGGTTAGAAATACCAATGGATGATCTCTCGGATTTGAAATTTGCATTCTGATATTGTTGACCCTTGCATTAGCAAAGTTTGGTTACTAATTTAGCAGCCTATCTAATGCAAACTGAAGAGAAAGTGTAATTATGATCCACTCCTGTGTGTATAAAACCAATTATGAATAAGGTGTAGGTGTATGTATCATAAAAATTAGCATCTTTATTAATAATTTATAAATTGTATTAATTGAATCTATTTGAGATAACAAATTTAAATTTAATTTACAGACACATTAACAAAATCAGATAACTAATTAACAATTTAATACTAAATATTAGAAATCGATAATATAAATATGATAAATAAGTCTGTGTGATTTTCTTTTAAATTATATTTTAATGTGAGATTTGCTGCAATCATTTTGGTTAGTGCCAAACAGCCCAATAAAAAATGAATGTATATAGGGGTAGAATTCGATTGAGTTGAGTAATTTTTTTAATTAATCGAATTGTTGTTTATTATTTTATGATTTAAACTATTTAATATTTTTTTTGATTTGAATTGAGTTTATGAAATCGAGTCATTGTTTGAGTTTTTGTTCAAATTTAATAGTAACTATTATATAATTTTATGATATAAATTTATTTTAATTTAAATAATTTTTAGCGTAAATTATGTATTTAGTCACTCATCTATTATTTAATTTCTGTTTTGGTCATCCAATTATTATTTTTTTTAAATCATATTTAATGTTACGTCTTAATTCTATTTTGATCATTTATTATTAAAGATATAATGATAATCTGATGTGATATATATTTACTTTTTAATATTAATATAATATTATTTTATGATGATATGTTAAGGTAAAAAAAGTAAATCCATCTGCTTATGCCGGGCCTTCCCCTTATAAAGACTATTGGTTCTAATAAGAATATTGCTTCAAAGAAATATAAAACATCATCCTATACAGACGTTAAAGTAAAAAAGATAAGTTCATCAGTTTATGCCCTTCCCCTTAATTAATTATATAATAATCTAAAATATTAAGAAAATAAAAAGCATGCTGATAGTGACCCATATATTTGCCTTAATTAATTATATAATATTGTTATTATAACTATATATAATCCTACAATACGTGTGAAAAGCGAACATTTGAGACACTTGCATGCACCGGCATGTTGTTTTCATTTCTTTATTATATTTTTCCCACAAATATAAATATTGACAAGTTCCTATTTTCATACATAGAGTTGAACCAAGTATTATAATTTAATATTTTTGTAAAAAAACTATGTTTATTTTAACAAATCGAGATAGATCTATTATATATTTTATTATAAATATTACTTTAAGAGATGGATATAATTATATTATCAATGACTTTGCCCACCACTCCATTAACTCAGAACTTAGGGTAAAGAAAACAAATTCCTCCCTGTCTGTCTCATATTTTCTTTGTCCTTTCTCTCGTTAAAATAAAACATCTCCCAACCACTTCAATTAATGTAATAATTTATACATCAATAAAAATGTAGACATACAGCCATGTCTTCGGTCCATTCTAATGATATTTGTAATCGTCGTTTCCATAATACAAAAGAAAACTGGAAGAAAGAGAAAGAAAAGAAGAAGCTTGATCACAACCACTTGGTTTAAATCACACATTTCACTCTTTTCTTTCCCACCATTTCTTTTTTATTTCTAACAACAATTTTATCACAAGATGACCAAGCTTTGGCTTTGGCTTTGGCTTTATCTATTTCTCTCAATACTTTTTTATTTATTTATTTTCATTTTAGCTTTCGACATCATTCAAGAGGCAGCTACTGAAGTCAAGGATACAATATATTATCATTCTATGAATAGGTTTTCATGCATAATTACGTGTTTTCTTATTTACTTATATTTGTGATTATATGAATTGCTTTTGTATTAATGGACTCATAAAGCCCAGCATTCATTTCTTTACCCTTTTCAGGATAGTAGATTTTGAGTCAAAGGAGTACCTTCGGCAAGGAATGTCACATCCCATATGTAGAGAACAATATTGTTCTTTTAGAGGACACATGTATCCATGTGGATTTTGTTCTATGGCAGTCCCGAGTCTAAACTTGTATTTAACTATTTTGTTTAAAACTTGTGTGCGTAGGAGCTCCATGATTGTATTAAATAATTTTGTAAAACTTGTTTAACGAATTATGATGTCTTGAAATCTTATAAATAGGGTTCATTGATTGAAACGTTTTCACGTTTGGTTTGGTAGTTCGTAGTAGGGCCAAGTGTAACATCGTAAGCTTTCCATATAAATCGGTCGGATTTAAGGTGTTAAACTAAAACTACCTTGCAATTTCAACTTTGACCAGTCTTTGTTGCTAATTGAATTTCTTTCAAAGGAAGGAGAAAGCTAGCTCCCTGGTGCACATTAAAATTGATTTTTTTTTCTCATTTACAATGATAAAGTTAATAATAATAATAAACTAAAGAGAGAAAAAAAAGCAAAGCAAAATAAAGCCCTAAGAAATCCTCTAACTCGAGTAGCATAATAAAATCCAATAATATATATAATATTTTGCATGGCAGCTTCATCGTGGAAAACGCAGGATTCTGATTGCTGGAACATACTGGGAATTCTTTCTTTCTTTCCTTTTTTTATCAGAAGTTTAAGAAATGATTCTGTGAGGGTTGGACCATTTGCAAGTCTGTTGTTGTTTGGCACGAATGATCATCACTCATCATGCTCCTACATCACATATAATTTCATCATTAATTATAATAATTAATAATAACGGATCAATTAAAATAATATATGCTTGAACTAACAAATGAGAATAATTTTGAGAATATCTGTTTAAAAAGTAGGTAAACCTTTCACGAAACTACATGTTATTTAATATCTTATCATGTCCAAACATTTTCTTGGGGAAAAATATGACTAATTAGAAAATTATGGTTAATTCATGGATATTTTTCCATTAGGGTTTCTTTACACGAATCAAAACGCTTCCCCACTAGGGTTTCTTTACACAAATCAAAAAGCTTTCCCACTAGGGTTCTAAATGTGAATGATAGTAGATAGAGATATTAAGAGATCTTACTCTCGAGGACGAGACGCCCAAAGGGAACTGAGTGCTCGTAAACGTCCGTAGTACTCTCCGATCATCAGAAAACACCGAGCCGCTTGTCGGACCGTCAATATTCGAGACAACTGCTGAAGGGTTTGCTGTCTTAAATTGTCAGCCTACATCACAAATACAAGTTTGATACGTAAAGTTTATGTTGATCTTAGGATTGGGTCTATTTCAAAATTTCCAATCATTCATTAAACAAGGTGAAGATTGGCCTCTTCTTTTATAATTTTGTTTTATTATAAAGTAATCAATCATGACTTTCCATTGAGCTAGGGGCTTTATTTCAAAATATATCACTATCAAACCACCTTTTTGATAGGAACTTTATAGATAAAGATACCCAATCAACCCCATGCCTTTCAACATTGCAATGGACTAAAGCAATATAAAAATTCCCCTCATTAAAATTATTTCCATTTGATCAACAAATTCAACCTATCATTTTCTAAGCACCATTTTGTCTCTAATTAAATTTTAGTTGGACTTGGACGTTTTAAATTTTACAATATTGTTAAACATTAGGTAATCTTTCGGGACAGGCCAAGTAAATGATGATACCTGGCGAACGAAGCCTTCAAGATTGGCAAGCTTGCCTAAGGCAACAGCCATTTGTTGCATTCCGTCAACGACCGGACCACCGGCAATGGTGTCGGTCAGCGACTGCTGGAGCTGTTCGAGGCCTTGCGTGAGTGCCTCTTCCGCCTGTTGTGAAGAATGCTGGAGGCTATAGATCCCCATCACTTGCTGTTCAGTCAATGGATCTAATTGAGATATTAACATCTGATCAATGATTAAACAAAAAAATCAGAACCGATATAAAGATAAAATGACTGCAAAAAATACTACTTTCATCATCTAATTTTTGAAGAAGAAACTTTTCCTTGATGAAATATGTTTAGGCCATATTTCCATTGTTGTCCGATTATTTTTATAGATAAATTCGAATATAACATGAATTATTAACGTGTTGAAAATTTAGATAAAGGATGCATTTGGGAACTTCTAACCTTGATGAGCTCGGAAGGCCTGAAACCTCCCATCCAAAGGAAGCAGCGTTCGGCCGGAGTCGTCCACATGCCGGTTATAAGGTGGAAGACGTCGGCTTTTGCAGCGGCGACCTTCAACCGGAAAATCTCATCGTAATGTGAGATGTAACTGTCTACGATTATCCGAAGGTCGCTGTCGGAAAGGTGTGCATTTAGTCCAGTTCTAAGCTCCAACATGTGCCTCTGATCATCTTCTAACCATCTCGAGTACTCCATGTCGAAGATTGCAGCCCCTAAAATGAAACAAACACGACAATAATGGTAATGAAACAACACAAACATATAAAAACGTTTTATAAAAGCGTGTGTCTTGCAATTACCGGAGCTGATATTTCCAACAGCACCAGTACAACCTCCCAAGAAAAGTCCCTATATCACAATGTTCAAAAAGTAAAACAACAAACAAAAGAAACAGTTTCTTTTGCTGATAAAATCATATGTTTTTGTAAAGGAAAAGAAAAGAAAACCTGAGATCGTGCTCTCTGAAGATCTTGCTCCAGTTGGGTTAGCTTTATTCTACTTGATTCTAGTTGTTGAACATAAGCCTGTTTTAAGACAAGTAAACCAGTTAGTTACTAAGACAAGTAACCGTGCAAATGTTGGTTTTTTTTCATGCAATGTTTCCATTTTATACAACCTTTTTTCTAAGACGGCTTTTCCTTGCGGCTTCTCTGTTCTGTGCTAAACGTCTCAGTGTCTGAAAAAAAAAACAACAATTTTATAGAGATTTAACTAAAATGATTTTTTGGAAAAAGAAGAGAAATAAAGATAGATTTTTTTCCTTTTATTTGTACCTTAGCATCAAGCTGTTTCTCAGAAGTTGAACCCCTTCTCTGCAACATAATTAGAGAATATGATATTTTATTATAATAAATGATGAAAAGGATAAAAGGGAAAAGAAAAAAGAGGGGGAAAATGCAGTTGTTGGTGATTTAAAAGTCTCTTATTAAACACAGACAAGAAGTTGGTCACAAAATAAGAGCATTTGATTGTTTGGTAGGCTAAAAAAGATGAGGAACGAATTTATGATATATTAAAAAAAACCATAAAAACTTTCAGTTATTTTACTAACAGTTAAGTATCTAGCTAGCTTAAGCAGCTAAGTTAGAAAGTTTTTTTTTCTTCAAAGAAAACAATGATTTAGAGTGATCTCACAAAATTTCTGGGAAGAGAAGCTGATTGCTGATGGCGATGTGACTCTTGCTCTTGTAACATGTAATCATGAACATGATAAGGGTAGCAAAAATCATCAAATTCCGCCATTTTTGGATACTGAGTTTTGGGTGTAGATCGTGGGAAGGGAGAGGAGAGGGGGGTTTCTCTTCTAATTCCAAAACTGATTTTTAAAGTATAAAAAACATGAAACTCATCTGTGAGTTATGGGGATTGAATAAAGTGGGGTCATGGTTTTATAGTGAAAAAACAAAGGTTGTAGGAGAAGTACAGATTATCTCTTAGCTTTCCAATGTGTAATTTGTGTTTCTCTCTCTCTATTTTCATGTCAGGCATTCATCAGAAAATCGTTCAGGGATCAGGAAAAAAAACTCTGAATCCTTTGATTTTCTGAGGGTTTGTTGGGATCTGTGTACCCTTTGAATAAAGATAGGCCCAGAGAAAGAGAGAGAAGGATCAAAACAGTAATAATAACAAAAAAGATACCAACTTTTTCCTCAGTTGCTGGGACATGGAAAGGAAATAGAGTAGGAGGGGGGGGGGAAACAATGTTTTAACTTTGAAGAATAACCTTTTCTTGGGGTAGTTTTGCAATTGATTGATCCTGTGATGTTCCGGTTCTTGAGATTTCACTCGCCATCTCCTGCTGTTTTTGCTGTTGTTGATCCAAAGGAGCTGTCTTTTTAGTACTACTGATTGGAGATTCCGGTTCAAGCTGGTTCTCAGTTTTGCTGGAGATTGTATTCACTGCTGAACCTGAATCAGTACTTTCCCCTCCTGATTTTGAACTTCCCTGGATAGATCAGATATAAATATTAAGTATTTTTGTCAACTCTTTAGAGTATAGGAAACCTATTAAAAAAACAAAAACTGGTCCACTGTGAACTATATATCAGAAAGAAATGGTCAAACAATGGGTTAAAAAGAAACTACTCTTGGGGTTTGTTGAAATCTCATTGGCCAAGAAGGGAACATCTCCAGTGTAGCTGCTGGTCTGCCTGGTGTGAATAAAGCTGCACAAAGAATCACACAAAAAGCAAACTGTACAATCTCAGAAGATCACACAAGATAAAGACAACCAAGATTGTATCTATATTGCTTTGCTATTTTATATCATTTCTTTTTTACAGTTATGATGGGAGTCGGTAAATAAAAATCATGCTAAACTGGTCATTGTTTCCATGTTTGTATCCTCAACGTCATTCAAGTGTCTTCCCCTTTACCTGTTTTTTCCCTCTACACATTCAAATCTCTCTCTTTTCTCTCTATCTCACCTTCATGTCGTGTTTATCGTCATTTCGGTTTTACTGACATGTGTCGAATATTGATGACGAAGAAAGAACTGAAATCGTATGTCTTAATGATATAGGAAGGGGAAGGAGCATACGTGGTTTAGCTTCATTGTTTTGAATTTTGATTCCTTGCAATACGATTGCTTCTTCTAGCTCTCCGAAATCAAAGGAGGAGCCTTCTTGATGGCTGAGTAACGGGAATTTGGTGAAAAACACCAGAAAAATTAAAAAAAAAGGATCAAATTTGAAAGAGAAGAACGAACATACATGAAACTTGTGGGAACATTCATTCCATGAAGAACTGCATAAGGGATAGTATGATGGTGATTCAAAGTTCCCGAGTCAGTCAAACCGGTCTCTCCAACTCTATGGTTCGCCATGCAGGACTTGTTCTTTAGACCATTCTCCAGACCAGAAACAGCTGGAAAAAAAAACATGTTGCAGCACAATGAAACAAACTCAAAAGCCAGAAACAAAACAAAGAAAACCCCAAAGTCGCTATTGGTTTAGTTTACCTCAACTACAGGTCGCTGAAGAAGAAGGAGGAGAGGGCACAAGGAAGATAAGATGAAAAGCTTCCAATTTCTGATCCTTCAAAGGTGTGTCTTTCTCTTTTGCTTATAATTTCTATCTGATCTTTTCCGAAGGAGGAAGATAAAACTTTTTCTGGAACCCTTTTTCTTTTATCATGGTACTGCACAGGCCCTGACCTTTCCTCTTGGTTGTGGGGATCTTTGAAGTTTAAAAGAAAAAAAAAATTATTCAGAGGAACCCACTAGAATCACTGACTCCAACTCCACTCTCTCTCTCTTCTCATTAACCGCCTGTTCTTTCTCATTGGTTCGTTTTCATGGACCTCTTCAGCTCAGCAAAGTACTATGCTAATAAATAAACAGATACATATATAATATTTTACTTTTAGAATGGGACGTTTATATTAAAAAAATGATGTAATAAATGGGTAGCACTTAATTCAACATTGAATATTGGATAAGACAAGGTTTTCTTTCTTAATAAAATGGATAGAGATTGGGAAAACTGTAAAAGGGAAAAAGAGTATGGAAAAGGTTTTAAAAGAAAAATGGTGAGCGGCAGCCGGAGGGAAAGACTTGAGTTGAATTCAAGGGGCAAATTGATATTTACCTAAAGTTTAGGTGTTAAATTGGTATTTCATCTAAATTTAAGGGTTAAATTAAAAATTAACCCTTTTTACAAACATACCACATCATCAAACTAATGAGTTAATAGTTTAATGATCAAAATATAACAATCGATAACATAATGATTAAAAGATACTTATTTTTTAATTTTATGAATAAAAATATACAAATATAAAAGGAGAGTGATCAATCCGATAATCTCTCTTAATTTTTTCACATTATTAAATTATTTAAATAAAATATATTTATTAATGAAAAACGTACTAAAATATTTAATTATCAAAGTAGGAAAACAAGTATATATTAAGCCGTCAAAAAAGGAGGTGTGAGATTATATGAGTTTATTTTTTTCACAAATAATGGCCTTGAATTTCTTTAAACCTCTTGCTCAACCACAACATTAAAATAACGATGAACGGGGCAAAACCCCCCACTTGTGTATTTTTGATTTTTGAGATGGACTCATTTGGAATCTTGCCTTTTTTTGAGGGGTCAACATCCCTTTCCCTTTCATCACCTAACCAACCCCAATGCCACATTTATACATTCTTTTTTCCCTTAATCAGAATTTGTTTCTTCTTTCAAACTATAATTACACCATGATTTGAAGACTTGACAAAACAATGCCCTCTTAAAGGGCTTGACCCCGTGATTAGGTGAGGTCTCTTTGTTGGCACTGTGCCAAACGTTGTATCCACACATACAAATCAATGCTTGCTTCCATGTATATCCTCAAAGCTACCCTTAAATTGCAGACTGTCTACCCAACAAGAAAAATAAACAAACAAAGCCTACCCTTAATTATTAGCATGAGTAGATTTTGTTTATATCAATGTTGCTTGTGCTTTAAGCATGGGAAGTGAATTGTATTGTATGGCTACTTTCCTTCTATCAATCCCTGTGTATGAGTTATTAAGAAGCTGCCATGGGGAGAAGCCGTCAATCAGATGGGATAAATCTCATGAGATCTTGACCTTTCATCTCAGGGGGAATATTATCATGTAAATCAATCATTGGCATTGGACCCCCATCAAACCCCAAACATACATTATTCGTTCAATTATAGTGGGTGAAACTGTAATCCGAATGTATATAATTTTATGTATGATTATACACTACTCTTAAATAAATAAATAAATTTATTATTATTAAAATATTATTCATCGACAATACATAGAATCATAGCTTTTCAATACATCAAATATTAACTCAAAGCATTACGATCAATATTAGGATCATTTAAAGTAATTTTCTAGAGGAGAGGATCTGTTTTTGAAGGTAAATATGAATATTATTTCATAAAATTCTCTTGTATCTTTGTTTTACATTTTGAATTTTCCAGTAATTCATCAAGTACCAACTCACTTAAGCATCATCCAACACGACTACATCAATAATAATTATATTATCTAATACAACCAATATGAATAAGACATGGCAAGCAGCACCAAATGTAGTTGTTGTTACTTCAAAATCTTATTCTGGTTATTATTATCATCATCTTATCATTGCTATTAAAATAGTAATTGGAGAAGGAAATTATTGGATAAAGTTCAAATACAGCTAAATTTAAATAATCAAAGTATGTCATACATATCTTTTGAATTGTCAATCATCCGTTCAAACTCAAACATTCACCTAATACTTGTCAAAGTTGAGATTAAAAAAAATACCTTAGATAAGTAAAATGCTAATAACAATGCCCGTACATAAATGAAATTCGTTGAAAACACTTTCCTTCTTTACATAATGTGAAGAAGTCGAGTGTTTTCATCGAATTGACATAAATTCGGATTTCAGCATCTGTAACTTCTTTACAAGAACAGAAAGAGAAGAGTGAGGCACCGACTGAGTCGGGAGTTTTTTTCCATTGTAGTACACTTTCTTCCTTTTAATGCACATGCACGCATGCAGGTGTGTGCGTACTTAAATGGTGTTGCTGCTATCAAATTCGACTCGGTTTCCTTTGAACACCGAGTTAAAAAAAAAGGTATTAGTGTTCATCGACAAGGGAAGACTCATGCAGATTTACATGAATTCATTTCTTCAGCTGAAATCAAAATGTAGTAAGAAACAATTCCACGAGTAGGTAAGTTAAACAAATAAGTGTAATTGCAGGCATCACCACTTGCCTAATGCCAATAATCTCCTTCATTGCAGTATAATAGGAATAAGATTGCAAGTGAATATAAGAATCTCTTGCATGCTTACATTATTTATGCCATAAACATACCGAGACAGAGGAGAGAGACTTTCCCATTCCATATTACCTTTGATGAGTAGGGGCTGGATGGCCCGAATCTGCAATTCTGTTAATCCTCTCTCTGCAATCCGAAAAATCACTTTTACCATCTCTGTCAGTTGCCGGTAAACCCTGCAGTATGCCTCAGACATGAACAGCAGCATATAAGTAAACAATCAGAAAGTTTAGAAGGGAAATTCACCTTCTTTTTTTTAAGATAATCGGTCATAAGGAACCAAAGATACAAACACTGCTGGAATTAGTTTAACAAGAAGAAAATAAATGTATAAATTGTAGAAGTACTAAAACTGTAGAAATGCTTTGATGAGGTAGCTTTACCTTTTATCTGCAAGAGCTAAGCAGTCTTCATTTCTCAAATAACAATCAAGTTTATCGGAAGAAATCCGCTAATTATGACTGTCACGGCCAAGTAATTCATCAAATTGACAAATCTTAACTTTACTACTGAAAATCCACAAACTCCGAAAATGAAGTTATGTTCACAGGCTAGGCTTGTGTATACACACAAAACCATATACTAGTTTCGGATAAAGCACTTTTGAATTTTAGCTTCACGAAAACTGTTAATTTAAAGCAATAATACAAAAAGGACAGTTCATGCCACAGCAGACATAAATAGCAGAGAGAGAATCTTCAACTTTGGAATGAAACAAAATGGTCAACAATTGCAAAGAGCAGAACAACAATTGAGTGGAAAAAAAAACTTCAGTATGCTTTTGATTGCATATGTTTTCCTATCAAACTGAAAAAAAAATACCATCAATGTATCATAAGCCACAAAAAGGAAAGATGTTAGGGATTTACATTCTGTAAATTCTACCTGTATATCTGCTACAACTGATACAGAGCTTGAATTTAGAAATGTGGTCGAGAATTTTTTTTTCTTATACTCAAACTGCACCTCTACATGTATATATTTTCTCATGAGCTGAACCATAGACGAGGTGAAATTGGCCAATATCTGGTATTCCTTGTGTGACTTGGCTTCTGAAACAACCCCAAAAATAATCATTTTCCTAAGATTTGGGCATCGTTTTAGCAGCTCCTCAACCCAATGTGAGAAGAAGTTGTTAATTACAGTCCATCCAAGCTCCAGCACCGTCACGTTCTCCAAATTAGAAGATCCTTGGAGACCATAATGCATGACTCCATTTCTCAACTTGTACCGCAATGAAAGATGGTTCAGTTGTGGAAAACAAACAGCAATTGTTTCCAAATCGATAACCTCGTATTCATCATCAAAGGTCACGTCCCAAAGTCGAAGCTTCCTCAATTTTGAGGATTTTGAAATCACCTGGTAGAATTTTGTCCAGAAGATTGCATAGCTACTAACATCAACAACTTCAAGATTATCGACAATCTCCCCAATGTCGAGATGTATCACAATAACATCGTCAAACTTGAAATATTTCAAGATGCCTTTTCCAATCAAAAACCTCAAGGGAACAATCCCTCAAGTGTAAACGCTCGATGCTATCAGCCTCCAACATAAATCTATCCAAACTGATTGCTTCAACATAAATACTCTTTAATGTTGGGCTGCTCAATTCAAGTGTCATCTGTGCATCTGAAATTGCTATCTCTGGATCGACAAGCTCCAAGCATTCAAGCTTCGGACATGCAGTGAGAAAAAGTCTCAAATCCAAATCTGAAATGCTAACATAACTCAGAGAGAGGGACTTCAAACAAGGGAATCTCTGAAAGTTAGGTTCAACCCCAGATATCGAACTGTGAGCCACTGCCAATATTTCCAACTTCTGCCTCCCACAGATTTCAAGAATGTTAACATTTGGGCTAGTACGGACATTATAAAATAACCGGCGCAAGGTTCCCCTGGTATACATGAGCCAAGCAATAACAGTTGCAGCATTGAACTCGTCAACACCAGCCATTAAAATCGATAGGCCTTGCAGTCCTGTAGTTTGGAATATTGTTTGAGTAATCAAAATCTCTAATTGACTAGTTGTAATATCACGATAAACAGGCCAATCATAGAATTAAACGCTAAAGTATGAAGGTGTGTCTGGTAAGCTTCGCGCCATTTTAGACATGCCGAGGAGGCTATCACCACATCCCGGGCATCTTCAAGCCGAGACAAAATATTTCCAATGACTTCAACTGGTAGATGCTCCATCACCAATAAAAGATCAAAAGCCTTAAATCGAGAAAATGAGTTTCCAAAGATGCTCAGCTAGATATAAACAAACAACAGATATTCTTCATAACTCCAAAAAACAATGTGGAAATGGGTTGAAATCCTCGCCAAAATCTTGCTTTCCAACACCGAAAAAGGGTCTGTAGAATAAAACAAGCACAAAAGCTACTCAAAAACATGATTTTTAGCAAGATCTTCAAACATACTCTTATGTCCAAATAAAAATGTTAAGCATCAAAAGAAGCAACAACTTGTTGGGTTTCAAAGGGAATTTGAAGATCATAATATAAGCAACATTCCAACTAAATAAATGTTTAACTTAAAATGAGGATCAAGGTCAAGATCATGTATCTGAGTACTTTAAAAAGAGTGACTTTACAAGCTAAAGTCACTCCAATGACTCAGAAAAGATACAGAATGATCTAAGAATTCAATACACGTATAAATCCAAATAAAAGAAGAAACAAGAAAAATGAAATTTCTGCATCTGGCCATATAACAAATATGTAAATTGTACAAAATAAACCACCCAAAGAAATAAAGAGCTTACAAAGATTGGGGTTCTCCAAATGTCAGCGACTGGCGATTTTAAGTTAGGGAAAAAGAACAAATACGCTTTGCTGAAGATTTGGATTCAATGCTTTTCTTCTTCTTTCTTCCTGGTTTGTTCTTTTTTCTTTATGGGTAAATATACAAATGGTCACTAAACTTTTTAGATACTTACATTTAGTCTCCAAACTTTTAAAACATGCAATAGAGTCACCAACATTTAGTTCATTAGGGTAAATTATATAAATGGTCACTAAACATTTCAGAAATTACATTTAGGTCCCTAACTTTTAAAACTTGCAACACAGTCATCAATTACATTTAAACCCTAAATTCCAAAATGCTTTAATTACATTCTAAACCTCAAATTCCAAAACATTTCAATTACATATCCAACCTCAAATTCATAATCATTATCAAAATCTATCATAACAAATTGAACTTGAAGCAACAACCCTAAACCCTCAAAACATAACCCTAAATGCTAAATTTCCCCACCAATTAACCCAACATAATCAACAACATTTAGTTCATTTTGGGTCCATAACAATAAGTGATTATGTTGGGTTTAGGATTTAAAGGTTAGATTTAACCAACTATAAGTGAACAATACTCAATTTGATTCGAAAAAAATATTTTTCGACTTGAATTGATTCAAAAAAATTGAACAAGTTGACTTTAAGTTGTAATTTCATAAACTCAACTTAAAAAAATTAAAGTTAAAATCGAGTTGTAAAATACAACTCGAATATCTCAAAAATTTTATTAATTAGTGGATTAATTTTTAAGTTTGAGTCAAGACCCTTGACTCTGTATGATATATGCATATCACATATGGAAAAAATATGAAGAAATATGTATTGTATATGGTTAAAAAACTATTTAAATTAGAATCAATTAATATTATAGTATTATAAATATTTATAATTAAATTAAAACAGAAACTCGAAAATTCAATTCAATTTAACTTGATTTAAATTTTATAAACTCAAATTGAAAAAATTTCGTGTCAACTATTTTATAAACTGAACTGAATTAGAATCAAATAATATTATACTATGATAAATATTTATAATTAAATTTAGACAGAAACTCAAAAATTCAATTCAATTCAACTTGATTTAAATTTTATGAATTCAAATCGAAAAAATTTCGAGTCAACTACTTTATAAACTGAATTGAGTATTTAGGTCCAACATAATCACTTATTATTCACTTATAGTTGGTTAACTTTTTTCAAAATGATTATATTTTGAGGGTTTAGGGTTACTGCTTAAGTTCAGTTTGTTATGACAGATTTTGAGAATTGATTATGAATTTGGGGTCGAATATGTAATTGAAGTATTTTGAATTTGAGGTTTATAATGTAATTGAAGTATTTTGGATTTTAGGGTTTAGAATGTAATTAATGACTATGTTGTAAGTTTTAAAAGTTAGAGGGCCTAAATGCAAGCATTAAAAAGTTTAGTGCCATTTATATAATTTACCCTAACGGTAGTGAAATGGCCGTTACTTCGGGATCATATTGCCAACGAACTAAATGTTGGTGATTGTATTGTAAGTTTTAAAAGTTATGGGACCTAAATGCAAGCATATGAAAAGTTCAATGACTATTTATATACTTTACCCTTTATTAATTTCGCTTTTTTTTAAAAAAAAAAACTTTGAAATCTACTTGTAGAATCAAATCAGACCAGAACGTGCCTGCTTTCACCTCTCTTTAAGCAAACCCGGTTCACGCCAACGTGGGTCCTTTCTTTACTTTTTCTTTTGTCGTGTTATAGGTCTTAAACTTTAAATTTAAATTAATCTCAAAATTTCAAAATATTTAATTGAACCTTTAAAAACAAAATTTAATTCAAGTATCATTCATTTATCAAATGATGTCTTTACTAAAACATTTTAATGATTTCATAATATTTTTTAGAGCATTTATTAATTTATCATAAAATTTAATTGAATTTGAAATTAATCATATGTTACGAGTTAACTTCTATCAAGATAAGTTCAAGATTTATTTATTTGTTAAAGAGAAAAATTGTCCATCTTACTATTTATTTGTTCAAATTCACAAGATACTAATACTCAAACAATTGTTTCATTGTTGGTATTTTCTTATTTTCACTCAACTCTATTTTTTTCCTATAGTGAAGGAGTGCTGGTAACATTAATAAAGAAATATCGTATTATTTGAGTATTGATGTATATGTGTCTTTAAACATAAGATCGACATTTTTTTCGTTAAGTGATTGATTATAAGATTCATATATGTACATCATCAATATCATCGATAATTTTTCCTTTATTGAATGATTGTTGATAAGATCCACACATACACACATCATTGCACTTTTTTTTTTATTGATTGGTGATAAGACTCTCACACACATATCATTGTTGTTCGTCTTTTTTTTTTCATTAAATGATTGATGATAAGACCCACACTGCACGTTATTATTGTACTTTTTTCCTTCATTGATGATTGATGGTAAACTCACACACGGTCACCATTGCTCGTTTAATTTAATTCATGTTTGTGTGAATATATATATTTACGATATGTAATGCGTGTGATATTTCTTGTGCATAGTCACTAATTATTATTATTTTATATAATTGTTTTAATAATATAATTACCATTTTATCCCTTTGTTTCGTTATAAATAGAAGGTTCATCTTCATTATT